CCACATCATACCATCCTTAGACTAATGAACAATTTGAAGTTCTTAATAGATGCTTAGAGACTTATCTCAGATGCATGTGCTTTGAGAAGCCTCAAGAGTGGTCAAAATGTATGTCTCTAGCTGAATTTTGGTACAATACCAATTTCCATACAACAAATAAAAAGACCCCCTTTGAAATTTTGTACAACATTGCTCCTCCTCTACACAGACCCTACCTAGCAGGTTCATGTGTGGTGGATACAGTTGATAGGAGCCTTCAGTAAAGAGATGCCACCTTAAAAATGCTCAAGGAGAATCTGCATAAGGCACGGAATAGGGTGAAACAAATGGCTGACATGCACAGGATAGAAAGGAATTTTGTAGTAGGTGATTGGGTCTACCTTAAGCTACAACCTTACAGACAGACTACAATAAAGTAGAGAAGCGATGAGAAGCTGTCACCCAGGTTTTATGGTCCTTATTTGATTATTAAAAGGCTTGGCCATGTTCCTTATACCTTAAAATTACCCCTCACCTCCAAAATTCACCCAACTTTCCATGTTTCCTTGCTTAAAAAAATATCATGGTCCTGTTCCCAGCACATCTACTAAACCAATTGTCCCCAACTTCCCTCAAGATTATCCAATCCCAAAATGTCCCTTAGCTATGCTAGACAAATGGAGTGTAAGAGAAAGAATCAGGAAGTAGTGCAATGGTTAATCCAAAGGATCAGTTGCCAGTTTAGGAAGCCATCTGGGAAGATGCAGCTTAGATTGAGGAGCAATATCCTGAATTCGATCCTTGGGGTCAAGGATCTCTTAATGGGGGAAGTATTAATGTAATTGATGGTGCAAAGGCTGAGTTGGAAGAATTGAGTAGTAAAGGAGCTGACTTGGAAGATGCTGAGATGGAAAATTCCCAGGAGAAAGAAGCTGAAAAAGAAGAGAAGAAGGAAAGGACAGCTATCAAGGAAGAAGGAATGAGCACTGAAATTGAGGAGAATATACTTGAAAGTTGTAATTTGTCTTTAGCTATTTGTCCTTATATTTTAGCCGTTATGCTATTTTGTTTGTTTGTAAGCTGAGCCTATCAGCAATTTTCAAGGCTTTATAAAGCCATATCCTTGTAATGAAAACTTTAAGCAATTAGTAAAATCATCTCCTAATTTCCTGATTACTCTTTTTCTCTCTCAAAAACTCTTAATTTTATTATCTTACAATTATCTCCACCAAAACTGCCCTGCTTTCATATTGGCTGGTTTTCTGGAATACTTGTTAATCTCCATTTTCCTAAGCAAAATCAGATTTGGTTATTTAGTTGGTATAATTGGTATCAGAGCAGTACTTTGCCTATGACAAGATCATCTTCTGATTCTGCCAATCTGGGAAATATTGAAATGAAGAATATAGAGAAGACCATGAAGACTCTGCTTCAGGACCAGGGTAAAAAACTAGATAATGCCTGTAAACAAAACAATATGAATATTGATAAAAATTGTAAGTCTATTACTAAGCTTAATAAATTGTTGTTAGGATTATCTGTGCAAATAAATAAATTTGTCTCCGATAATACTCATAAATCTCATTACTTTGCTAGGTTAACTAAGGTAGAGTTTCCCAAGTTCAGTGGCTCAGATCTGAAGTCATGGATTTTTAAGTGTAACCAATTTTTTTACCTTGACAATGTGAAGGATCCATATAGGGTGAAACTTGCTGCTATTCACCTTGAGGATAAAGCATTGCTGTGGTATCAAACATCCATCCAGAATAAGAATCAAATCCTACCCAAATAGGAAGATTATGTGAAGGACATAACAACTTGGTTTGGGGATCTCTAAGATGACCCTATGGCAGATCTTAAAGCTCTAAAGCAAACTAGCAGTGAACAAAAATATCATGATTCCTTTGATACATTAGCTAGTAGAATAGAGTTATCTGAGCCTTATTTACTTAGTTGTTACCTAGTTGGGTTGCAAGATAACATTTAACTTGCTGTAAGAATGTTCAACCCCAGTACCCTTCAACAAGCTCTATGTTTGGCTAAGTTACAAGAGGCTGCTAGTAAGGCTAAGAAACCCAAAAAACCTACCCCACCTAAAAAATAACCACCCCTTCTACCAACTTCATCCCACACATTGGAATCAGCCACACCAGAATTCAAGCCACTCAGCCAGATTCCCCCTTATACACCTAAAACCTTCACAAACCCAGCTACTACTTCCAGAACACCAAACACAAACAGGAGAACCCTTACCCCAGCTGAGTTTAATGATAAAAGAGCCAAAAACCAGTGATTCTTATGTGATGAGAAATATGAACCAGGACACAAGTTTAAGAGAAAGAAGCCACAACTATATCATATTGAAGTAGAGGAGTTGGAGGAAGTTGATGAAGTGGCTGAGGTAGAAGTACATGAAGAATCTTAGTGTGCTCACATCTTTGTTCAGGCTATGGATGGGGTTGCTTCCTTCAAAGATATGAGGGAGGAGGGACACCATAGGTAGAAGAAAATACAACTTCTCCTAGACAGTGGTAGTACCCATAATTTTATAGATGCTAACAAGGCACTTAAAATGGCAAGCAAGGTAGAGTTCATTACACCTCTTTGGGTCAAGGTGGCAGATGGAAACCAAATTAAGTATGATCAGATTATCAAGGGTTTTACATGGAGAATGCAGGGAGTTGAGTTTTCTGCAGATGTGTTTCTATTACCCTTGAGTGGTAGTGATCTAGTTCATGGAATCAACGGTTTTCCTTGCTAGGTCTTGTACTCTAGGATTTTATCAAGCTCACCATGGAATTCAAGTACAAGGGCAAGATGGTAAGGCTAAGGGGTTCATCTCATAAGAGTTGGTAGACTTTTCAGCCTCAGAAATTGCAAAAACTATTAGCTTAGGAAGGAACTCTCTCAATGATGTATATTCTGCTAGGAGATTCTGCACGGAGATTCTGCACACTCACCTATCAGCCATCAGAACACTAATCAGGACCCCACACTTTTATCATTACTAGATCAGTTTTGGATGGTCTTCAAGCCTATTCAAGACCTTCCACTCCCAGGGGAGGATATGATCATGTCATACGTTTAAAGGAAGGAACTGATGCTATTAACTTAAGGGCATACAGATATCAAGCCTTGCAAAAGACTATAATTGAAGAAATGGTGCAAAAGCTTCTTGATCAAGGGGTGATAAGGCATAGTTACAGTCCATTTGTTGCACCCATAGTCTTAGTGAAGAAAAAGGATGGGGGATGGACATTGTGTGTGGATTATAGGCATTTGAACAAGGCATTAATTAAGGATAGGTTCCCTATTCCTCTCATTGAAGAACTATTGGATGAATTCCAGGATACAAAGTTCTTTTCAAAGATTGACCTCAAATCTTGTTATCCCAAGATCAGGATGCACCCAAATGATATCAAAATAACTGCCTTTAAAACTCACTATGGTCACTTTTTATATTTGGTTATGCCATTTGGCTTAAACAGTGCTCCCTCCACTTTTCAAGCTCTAATGAATAAGTTATTCAAACCCCTTCTCAGAAGATGTGTTCTAGTCTTCTTTGATGAAATCTTTGTTTATAGCCCAACTTGGGAGGATCACCTCAAGGATTTAGAACCTGTGCTAGACATCATGAGAATTAACCAACTCCATGCTGATCTCAAGAAATGCTCATTTGGGTTAACTGAAATCCATTATTTGGGCCATATAATATCTCAGGATGGGGTAGCAACTGATCTAGAGAAAGTGCAAGCCATGCTAAACTGGCCTAGACCTAGAACTCTCAAGAACTTAAGGGGTTTTCTAGCTCTTACTGGCTATTATAGAAGATTCATCAAAGATTATGGCAAAATCTGCAAGCCACTCACCTCACTCTTGAAAACTCTTTTAATTAGCTAAAAACAATCATCACCACTCTTCCTGTCCTTGCCATGCCAAACTTTTAAAAACCTTTCACTATTGAAAGTGATGCCTCATGGAAGGGAATTTGGGAAGTGTTGCTTCAGGAAGGGCACCCTATCAGTTTTCTGAGTAAAGCCTTAAGTGAAAGGAACATGCAATTTTCCACTTATGATAGAGAGCTACTAGCTGTGGTTTTTGCTTTGAAAAAATTGCATCACTACTTGTTGACTCAACCCTTCATCATTAAAATAGACCAGCAAAGCCTCAAGTACCTACTTGAGCATAAATTAGCAACCCCTTTTCAGTAGAAGTGGTTGTCAAAGCTGGCGGCAGGACTCAGTCATACATTGGAATACAAATCTAGAAATGAGAACATGGCAGCTGATGCCTTATCCAGAGTTCTAGGTTATCAGCTGAATGCCTTGTCTATTTATGGTGTGCAGTCTGATCTTTTAGATTAGATAAAGCAGTCTTAGAAGGATGAAGAAAGTCTACAACAGATCATTACAGAGTTGCAGCAAAATGTTGGTTCTCATAATTTAAGCATTTCTCTTGGAGTGAGCAATGTCTCATAAGGAAAGGGAAGTTAGTGGTGGGAAATTCTCAAAATTTAAAGGAAAAGATTCTCATTTGGTTGCATGATTCCCCACAGAGAGGGAACTTAGAGAGTGAAATCTTTTTTCTATTAGAAGGGTATGAAGGGAGAGATAGAGTCATATGTTAGCCAATGCACAGTGTGTTAGCAATGCAAGTATGATCCACAAGCATATCCTTGTCTCTTGCACCCTTTACCTATCCCTTAGTCTGTATGGGAAGCAGTGACTATGGATTTCATACACTAGTGTAAAAATCTCATTCGTAACAGGCTATTTGTAACGGTCAAAACTTTGCCCGTTACAATTAAGATATTTGTAACGGGTAAAATAGTGTCCGTTACGAACACATATGTATTCGTAACGGGCAAAATAGTCTGTTACGAATACGTATGTATTTGTAACGGACAAATTGGTGCCCGTTACGAATATATAAGTATTCTTTATGGAAAAATTAGTGCCCGTAACGAATAAAAATGTATTCGTAACAGACACTATTTTGCCCGTTACGAATACTATATTACACGTAAATGCCCTAACTTGGCCAACCTGATGAGAGGAACCCAATATTTGGCTTTTTAGCGTTTCACCTCTTTTTCCCTCATCAGTCCCTCACTCCCTCTCTCTCTCCTCTCCTCTCCTCACCGTCATTCACCTCTTTCTCTCATTTCAAACTCAGGCCCTCTCATTTCGAGGAGCAATGAGAAGAGCTCTGTTTCGTTGGTTGTTATTTTGGTGGTTAACTTGAGCAGCGATTGCGTTCATCTTGAGACGAGAAACTTGACCGGCGGCTTCATACAAGTTTTCCCAAGCGGCGTTGTTTTTGGGGAGAGGTGTAACCGGCGGTGACGGAACTCTTGGTGAAGGTCCGTTCGGGCTACTATTGCTCGAAAAACCCACTCCGGTTCGACCATTACATTCCCACCTCTCATCTTCCTCTTTTCGAAATGATTTTCTCTAAAGGTTCGTGCATTTTTAATCTTTTCTCTTTAATTTATTTCATTATTTCATTTTTTTGAGTTTTTGTTTTGCTCAAATTTACAATTTCATGTTTTTCGAAACTAATGGTTTTCTGATTTTCGATTTAAATTCAATTTTCTCCATAGAAATTGTGCCTTTCTCAACTACATACATCACCACAAATTATTGAACATTTACAAAATTTAATTGTTAGTATTTCTTCAAATTATACACATATGTGTTTGTGAGCTATTAAATTACAAATGTTCGTTTGAAAAAGGGTTTTTTTTCAGAAATATATATATATATATATATATATATATATATATATATATATATATATATATATAGAGTGTGGATCACGTGAAAACAAGATTAAAACTGAAAACTGAAAACATGCAATCTCTACCGTAGATTATGATCTATTACTCACCCCTCATCTAACGGTTCAGATTTTTCCCCCAAATTAAAGCAAAATGATAGCAATTTCTCTCTCCTCCTTCATTTGCACGTAACTTTTTCCTCCTCTATTTTCTCTCTCCTACTTTCTCTCTCCTACTTTCCCAATTCTTCTACCAATTTCATGCTACTAATTCAAATCTAGCTTCAATTACTTTGATTTTCAGCAATTTCTTAGCTCTACAATCTATTATCAAGTAAGTTATTTGTGTTAATTTCGTTATTTTGCTTGATTTGAGTACTTAATTTCGTAATTTTTGTTTCACTTTTTCAACCAAATTTAACTCGTTTTTGCTAGATTTTGATTCATTTCATTGATTTTGAGTTTTGTTTTTTTTTTGGATTGAAATTGCAGTAAATCGTTGATTAAGCAGACGAGAACTCGAATCAAAGTTGTCCGACGAATGAAATGCGACGGAGAAGTTTTTGAGGAAAGACATTGCTGATCTGCTTGCTAATGACCTCGAGAAGAACGCTTATGGAAGAGTGAGTGTGTTTTTCCGTTATTTTTTTAGCTTAACGATTTGAATTTTGATAATTGATGAATTTTTTTAATGTTTATTTGAATTTTTCCATTGTACATATGATGAAAAATGTTGGTGCATCAGAATATTGTATTGTCTTTGTTTATATTTTAATTTTGTCGATTAATTTTGACCGAAAAGCATGTTTGCTTGAATTTTGCGAGAGTTGAATTATTCATTTCTATTGAATTTGTAATTTGACTGTCAACATTTGAGGTGTTACTTAGGTCTAAAATTAATCTTCTAATGAGTAAATTAGGTTTGAGTAAATTAGAAAATCATAGGAGTACATGTTTTTATTTTCTTAGTCATAGGAGTATATGTTTAGAACTAATGGCAGAAGCTCCATTAGAAGCCTTGCCAATTTGCTAGAAGCGAGTTGAATACCCCTTAAGCTTCTTCATCCATTACAGGAGTATTGAACATGTTTTAAAGATTATGAACACCAGGGTTGCAAACTGGAAATTTCTCCTCGTTGTTTTGATACCTGTCTGATTTATTGAACTGTTCAACATGATATAGCGTTTAAGTTTGGTATGAAATTTCTGCAATTCTGTTATCTTAGGATTATTTGCTTAGGAATTAGGACTTGTTTAATATGTTTCTTCCGGATGTCAATTGATGGCCTTGTATTGGCACTTGGGGAATGGTTTATGATAGTGTATTGATGTTGTACTAGTACTTCTGCTCTGGCTCTTAGAATTCTTTTTTTTTTTATCTATTGTTCAGTCATTTGCTGTACTGATTCCATCTTTTTCAATAATAGTGTGCCCGTTCAAGTGATATATGGCTTACGTTGTTGCTATATTTGTATTGACTAAGCCTTGAATAATGTCCAGCAGCTTATAGAATGTGTTTGATGCTTTGATATGTATGAATCACGTGTTGCATTTCTGCATTTTTCTGGTTTACACTTAATTGACATTTGATGCCTGAATTATATTACAATGTATAAATTTTCTGTGAGCTGTTAACTTTGTTCCATTCCACCTATTAAAATTCTGTTGCTTTTTGTGTGTTATTGCCTTCTAAATTTTGGATTTTCTTACATTGGTAATGGTGATAGTTACATTGTGTTTTTTGCTTGTTGCTAATCAATCACCCTTTCATTATTTCAGTGCAAGTTCTGTGGCAGGGAGGGTACTATTACAATGTTACCAAAATCTGGCTGCTATCTAACAGGTGATGACTGACTGTGAAGCAGGAAAGTTTGTCCGTTTGATGAGCTTTGACTGTCGGGTTTGGAGCCAGTGGACTACTCCTTTGGTGGTGACAAGGAGGAGCAGCAGAAATTATCTTATGATAAGGAGCAGCAGGAGAAGTTATCTGATGACAAGGAGGCCGGAGAAGGAGAAGTTATCTGATGATAGTTACCTTACTTTTGTAAATAGTGACATCTATATAAATATGGTCAATGTTGTCAAAATTTATATAATTACCTTATTTTTATATATAGTGACCTTCGTTATTTTTATATATAGTGGCCTCTGTATAAATGTGGTCAAAATTGATATAGTTACCTTATTTTTGTATATAGTGACCTTTATGTAAATATGCTCAAAATTGATATAGTTACCCTATTTTTGTATATAGTGACCTCTAAGTAAATATTCTAAAAATTGATATAGTTATCTTATTTTTGTATATAGTGACCTTTATGTAAATATGATCAAAATTTATATAGCTATCCTATTTTTGTATATAGTTACGTTATTTTTATATATAGTGACTTTATGTAAATATCGTCAATTTAGATAAAGTTACCTTATTTTAGCATGTAGTGACCTTTAAAACGTTGCGTTTGTCAAAAAAAAAAAAAAAAAAAAAAAAAAAAAAAAAAAAAAAAAACCTTTAAAATAGTTGAATTGATTATATGTAAGGTTGGAATGATCTTAGGGCTTTAGAACCGTCTGATCTTTTGTGCTAGTAATGAATGGCTAAGATTGCTTGTTTTTAGTTTTCACCATAAGCTCTGTTTTTAGCGGAACCTCCCCGTATATATATATATATATATATATATATATGTATGTATGTATGTATGTATGTATATTTACTGTTTTCATTGATATTTGTCTTTGATTTTTCACAAGTTAGGCTATTGATTAATTTTATAGAAAATGAGATGATTTGTGAGTAATTTGGGTAAAAGTAATTAATTATTGATGCTTAGGGTTTCAAATTTTTCCCTGAACTTCTAAATTTTAGTCTTCCCTTGCTGAAAAATCATAAACCTAGCTTAATAGTTGACACTAACCGTTTTATTTTGGATTTTGCAGACCTTGCTCCTCCTTTAATGGTGGACAGAGAATTCCGATGATGGGATGGATTTCCCTTACTTAGACCCGCCATTGACATGTTGCTTTGAAGTAGTTCAAAAGGAATTTCTACCAAGTGTGAGAGATTCAGAGCATCAAATGGACCCTGATATATACTAAGGGTGGAAAATGATGCAATGGAATCCGCCTGAATTCGGGCGGGCTCCCGGTGGACCGGTGTCCAATGTGGCGATTTCGCACATTCGATTGGGCGGCAGGGCACCGGTTATCAGTAAGGTTGGGGATGATGATTTGTTTATAATTACTCAATTTTTAGTTTATTTGCAATTATTATATAAATTGTTAATTTTCCTTGTTTTGCTGAAAAAATCATAGCTTTGTGTTAAATAGCTTAATTAAGTAAATGTCAATTGTTGTCATTGAGCACTTTTTCTTGTTTGTTTGATGAACTTTTGGAATTGTTTGTTTCGGTATATTTTAGCATTCATATTTGATTATATAAGAATGTACTGTATACTTGTGTATTATATACACTGTTTAGTACTGAAAACATGAAATGCCATTTAAGAGGCTCTCTTCTCATACATTGTTGACCATTTAGTTGGAAGAAATATAAAATTATAGTGATTACATCAGCTCCTCTATACAGTTTGTGAGGGGATGTAAGTTGATGTCGGCTCGAGAACAACATGCAAGTGGAATTTGTCTGTTATTTGGGACTATAGAAATTTGAATGTTGGTTCAATTGATTCCTAAAGTATTAATTACCCAATTTGGCTGCAAATTATTTGTTAGTGAAAGTAATGCAAGTAGATTGATCAAAGTCATATAACTCAAGGAACTGAGGTTTGTTGGAAAGGATAATTTTGTGATCGTCAATTAAGTACTTAGTACTGTGAATGTGCTGGTTTTAGTATAAATTTTCTAGAGCTAATCTAGTGAATTTCGGCAGGGAATAGTATGCTTGAAAAGCCTAGTCTGTGCTAGTCGTAAGCTTGTAACCACGTTTTTGTCTTGTACATAGATGTAATATGTGTAATGATATCTAATCTTTGAGCTTAAGTGATTTGGCACTCTGTTCTCCCCTGTATATAGTGTTACTAATCTGATTTCGTCTTATTTTTGGTATTATTTTATTGGAGTATGTGAAGTTAGAATTTAGAATGTGGTAAATTCTAAAATACAACAAATCCAAAAGTCAGTAAATCATCAACCTTTCTAATCATATAATATTTCACGAACTAACTTAATTAAGTTGTATTATTTTTTGTTATTGTTATGAAAATATTATCATTATTTCCAAAAATAAAGTGCCATGTTGTGCTAATAACAATATTTTATATTATAAAGTCATTAAAATTTTTCTATAACAACAGAATATATGGTTGGTGTGAGTAATGTCATTGACTTCAATTGTATATGTTAAAATTTACTTAGCCTCCACAATTTGGGAAAACTTAAAGTACAAATAATTACATGAATTTTATTATAAATAATATAAGAATTATCACATGTACTAGCAATTATGTGTTGTGATTAGCTGTTTAATTACTTTAAGTAATTTCAAATGTATCCACATTTGAGTAAATTGTTTGCATTGAGTTATTGCCTCGAACTTAACTTGTTAAAACTGTTGACTTTGAAAATGCCTAGACTTAAATTTATACTTTCAGTGGTTTTAATTTTGACTGTTACTACAGCTCAAGAACTGGATTATGTAAAATTTTCAGAAGTTAGAGATGCTCTAGATGATAGATGCTAGTCCCTTGTAAATATCATTTTAGTGATACCAATATGCCAATTTCTGAAAAAAATCCGAAGACTCTCAAACACTCATAATTTACGCAGAGGCTTTGTAACAATGTAGGATACATTTATTTACTTATTTGAATTCATTCTTTTGCATGATGCAGAAATTGAAGGTTTGAAGTCCAGAAATGAATAATTTTTTTGGAGGGGCAGAAATGAATCATTTGTGTTCACTGATACATAAATTTATATGTTCCGGGATGAGATAGGAAAAGAAATGGCCAGGAAGTTGCAAACAGAAGTTTTAGATGTCACAATCTCTGTGAACGAGTATGAGGCTGCAAATGTTCATAAATGTCAGCCTGCTGTTGGAGCTGACAGTGATCCAGGTGAACAAATCTTCAGAGAAGAAAGGGATGACAATGCTCTTGATTGCTGCTTTTACTACTGGCCTGCTGTTGTTTGTGCTTATATTGTATTTCCTTACTAAATTTTGCAATCAATAGCGTTTTGGACTACTAATAGGAGAGTTATAATTAGCATACAAAATTGGATTTGGTGTATATGTTATGTTTGATAATATGTTTGTGGCATGAAATATTTGGGTTTGTTATAAATTATTATAATAATTTGGGTGGAAAATAGAAATAAGAATAGGGGTATTTGTAACTATCACCAGAAATGCTAGTTACAAATGCCCTAATTATTTTTCTTATTCGAAGATTATTCGTAACAGGCATTGTAATTGCCCGTTACGAATAACAACTTATTCGTAACGGGCGTGGTAAGCGCCCGTTATGAATAATGGGTTATTCGTAACAGGCGTTTCAAGTGCCCGTTATGAATCATGACTTATTGCATTAAAATAACAACTTATTCGTAACGGGCAACTGAACGCCCGTTACTACCCATTATTCATAACGGCCATTTCAGTTTCCCGTTACGAATAAGTTGTTATTTGTAACTGTAGACACCTAAAAATGTCTCCCCAAAACTAAACCCGATGATGAACAACCTTTCATCGCCATTATTGGTCTGGTTGAGTATTTAATTTTTGGAGTGCTTAAATCCATATTTCCATTTCATAAACCAACCCAATTTCTAGCCCATTTCACCAAACCATAACTTATTTTCCTCTTTTCGTGCCTTTAAACCCAAAATAATTCATTTCGTGTCCTTTAAAATCATTCATTTCGTGTCCTTTTTATAAAACGTTTAATCCAGTTTATTTTGGTCCATAATCTGGGTCTAATGATTTAATATTTGGATGGAGCTTGAAAAGAAGAGCTTTCCAACGATATATTAAACCGAGCCCAAACCGAACCTAAGCCCACCTTACCTACGACCCAATGATCATGTGGAGGGTCCAAATTATTAATCCCATTCCTAAACCAATTAATATTAATTGGAAGCTTCTATAAGTTTATAAAAGATCTTAATTATCCTTTTTGAAAAGATAAGATTAAATAGTTTGAAATTGAATAAAACTCCTTTTTTTAAAAATCCTTTTTATATCCAAATTGAAGGACGTTCAAAGATAGACAAATATTATTTTCTGCATCATATTTTTTATCCAAATTTTATATGGTTGGATAGCCCTTGAAATTATATTTCCAATGATATATTATAATGTCAATTTCGAGCTATAACGAAAAAGATATGAATTAAATAAAAAACTCTATCCAAAACTGATACCGTCTCACTATTTCGTCCATATCTTTTATTATATAAAATATTTTAATCTGATTTTAATTGGGTTAGAACATAGACTTCAAGAGCTTTCCAACAATATCTTATTCATCTTATTCCGATTTCTGGATCAAAAGATATGATAAAAACAAAAATCGCAAAAACTACAGTGTATCGAGTTTTATTCCGATTTAATTCGGATCTTATCATAATTCTTCGACCCTTTTTTTTTTCTCTATAAATAGAGGTCATATCACCCCTTTATCAAACATCAACAAGATTGATAATAAAATAATTCTCTTCTCCCTCTTTAGCCTAAATACTAGCCATCCTATTTTCTCAAAATACTTTCCCTAATTAAGCACTCCAAGGAGTTCATACAATACCCAAAATTCTATACTTAAACCAAGGCGTGAAAGGTATAATTGACTGAGGGTTTGGACCAAGTCAACTCTAATTTTAATTTAATTTAATTTCCATTTAATTTATATTTTTATTGAAGTTTAATTCATGATGTAGCAATTTAAAGGAACGCGCGGAATGTGAGTAATTAATTAATTTAATTACTCTTATTTTATTTTATTGTTGCTAGTATCATGATTAGGTCATTTTATATTTTATTTGACTAAAGTTATTATTTTCGAATTGCTTCCAATATTAATGTTTATTCTATTATTTTTATTGATCACCATATTGCATGTTAAAGGGAATATGTAATTGAAAATCACGCCTAATAAGATAATTTGGACAACCGGTTTAGGTTCCTTTTTAATCTTGTTAATTAAAGTGATCACAAATATTTTAGAATTATATGTTTCATTAATATTAAACCAATTTAGCTTAATAATAGTTTGGAGCAAATTGAATTTTTGTTTGTATGCCTTTGAGATCGCATGAATGCTTTTCACTATAAGAATCGAGTAGAGGCCAATACGGGCGAATGTGGCTCCATGACACACTTCGTACCATCATCCCCGATCCTCCTTTCGTGGTTCCGAACCATATGGAGTTAGTAATATCATGGATTATGAATGGGGTGTAACCTTCACGGGTCAATCGTTGTTGCTTTCGTTGTCCCTTATTCGTGGTTGCCTTTAATGATCCGTACCGTGAACGGTTTACAAGTTCCTTAAAAACTTGTTGGCGGCTCCCTACTTTCCTTGTCCCTAATCGTATTATGTCAATTCCCACTTCCTATGAGTGCCAAGCATATTCACCACATGCTTTTAACGTAGGCGCACTTCGAGCGACGCCTACAGTAACGAGCGGTGCCCGTTACGAATAACAATGGCATCTGTCACGGCCGCATACGTAACGGATGCCCGTTACGGATGGGCCCTTTTTGCCCGTTACGGATGGCCTTTTTTAACTATTGATAGAGGGATTACCTTCCTTCATTGGAAAGGAAGTGATAATGGTGTTCGTAGACAAATTAAGCAAATATGCCCATTTTGTGGCACTCTCTAACCCTTTTTCTGCAATGACGGTAGCTCAAGCATATTTGGAAAATATTTTTAGACTCCATGGCTTCCCTAAATCTATCATCTCTGACACGGATAAAGTCTTCATAAGCCAGTTCTTGTCTGAATTCATTAAACTTCAAGGAGTGCAACATAAAATGTCCACAGCATACCATCCTCAGACTGATGGATAATCTGAACTTCTCAATAGATGCTAAGAGACTTATCTCAGATGCATGTGCTTTGAGAAGCCTCTAGAGTGGTCAAAATGGTTGTCTCTAGCTGAATTTTGGTACAATACCAATTTCCATACAGCAAGTAAAAAGACCTCCTTTGAAATTTTGTACAACATAGTTCCTCCTCTACACAGACCGTACCTAGCAGGTTCATGTGTGGTGGATACAGGGGATAGGATCCTTCAGGAAAGAGATGCCACCTTAAAATGCTCAAGGAGAATCTGCATAAGGCACAGAATAAGATGAAACAAATGGCTTACAAGCACATGACAGAAAGGAATTTTGCAGTAGGTGATTGGGTCTATCTTAAGCTACAACATTATAGACAGACTACAATACAGTAGAGAAGCAATGAGAAGGTGTCACCTAGGTTTTACGGTCCTTATTTGATTTTTAAAAGGGTTAGTCAGGTTGCTTACACCTTACAATTACCCCCTACCTCCAAAATTCACCCAACTATCCATGTTTCCTTGCTTACAAAAATATCATGGTCCTATTCCCATCACATATACTAACCCAACTGTCCCCAACTTCCCTCAAGATAATCCAATCCCAAAATTTCCCTTAGCTATGCTAGACAAACGAAGTGTAAAGAAAAGGAATCAGGCAGTAGTGCAATGGTTAATCCAATGGGATCAGTTGCTAGTTTAGGAGGCCACCTGGGAAAATGCAGCTTGGATTAAGGAGCAATATCCTGAATTCGATCCTTGGGGTCAAGGATCTCTAAATGGGGAAAGTATTGATGCTATTAATGGTGCAGAGGCTTAGCTGGAAGAATTGAGCAGCAAAGGAGCTGACTTGGAAGATGCTGAGATGGAAAATTCCCAAGTGAAAGAAGCTGAAAAAGAAGAGAAGAAGGAAAGGACAGCTGTCCAGGAAGAAGGAATGAGCACTAAAATTGAGGAGAATATTACTTGAAAGCTGTAATTTGTCTTTAGCTTTTTGTCCTTTTATTTTAGTTGTTATGTTATTTTATTTCTTTGTAAGCTGAGCCTATCAGCAATTTTCAAGGCTTTATAAACCATACCTTGTGATGAAAACTTTAAGCAATTAATGAAATCATCTCTTAATTTCCTAATTACTCTCTTTCTCTCTCAAAAACTCTTAATTTTATTCCCTTACAATTATCTCACCCAAAAATGCCCTGCTTTCATATTGGTTTGTTTTCTAGAATAATTGTCAAATCTCCATTTTGTTGAGCAAAATCAGATTTGGTTATTCAGTTGGTATAATTGGTATCAGAGTAGTCCTTTCCTCGGCCTATTCTTCACTATGCCTATAACAAGATTATCTTCTAATTCTGCTAACTTGAGAAATATTGAAATGAAGAAGCTAGAGCAGACCATGAAGACTCTACTGCAGGACCAGGGTAAGAAACTGGATAATGCCTACAAACAAAACAGTATGAATATTGAAAAAAATTGTAAGTCTATTTCTGAGCTTATTGACTTATTGTTGGGATTATCTGTGCAAATAACAAAATTAGTTTCTGATAATACTCATAAATTTGGACCTGAAACTGTATTAATCAATAATCAAGATTTTGAACCCCCTCCAAAGCACTCTCATTACTCCTCTAGGTTAACTAAGGTAGAGTTTCCCAAGTTCAATGGCTCAGATCTTAAGTCATGGATTTTTATGTATAACCAATTTTTTTAACCTGGACAATGTGAAGGATCCAGATAGGGTGAAACTTGCTGCTATTCACCTTGAGGATAAAGCATTGCTCTGGCATCAAACTTACATCCAGAGAAAGAATCAAATCCTACCCAAATGGGAAGATTATGTGAAGGACATAACAACTAGATTTGGGGATCTCTATGATGACCCTATGGCAGATCTTAAAGCTCCAAAGCAAACTGGCTGTGTACATGAATATCATGATTCCTTTAATGCATTAGCTAGTAGAATAGAGTAATTTGATCCTTATTTACTTAGTTATTACCTAGCTGGGCTGGAAGATGACATTCAACTTGTTGTAAGAATGTTCAACCCCACTACCCTTCAACAAGCATTATGTTTGGCTAAGTTGCAAGAGGCTGCTAGTAAGGCTAAGAAACCAAAACAACCTACCCATCCTCAAATACAACCACCCCTTCTACCAACTCCATCCTACACATTTAAATCAGCCACACCAGCATTCAAGCCACTCAGCAAGATTCCCCCTTATACACCTTAAACCTTTACAAACCCAGCTACTACTTCCAGAACACAAACACAAACAGGAGAACCCTTACCCCAAAG